GAGCAAGGGAACCTTTACCTTTATGGAGGTCAAAGCAAAACCATTCTAGCGAATGCCTAATGTGTCATAGAGAATAGTTGCCTCCGTGGCTTCCAGGGAAGCCATTAAGTGAAAGCCAGCAGATACCTGGGATTGTTGGCAGGGAGGGTATGGAAAGGAGGCTTGCTGATCTGTCTCTCTTTTTCCTTAGGCGTGGGGCCCGGCTGCACCGATGAGACCCTCCTCTCAGCCATCGCCAGCGCCCTCCACACCAGCACAATGCCCATCACGGGGCAGCTCTCCGCCGCCGTCGAGAAGAACCCCGGCGTCTGGCTGAACACCTCGCAGCCCCTCTGCAAAGCCTTCATGGTGACTGACGAAGACATCAGGTATCCGGGCACGGGGGGACCCGCCTGTACATACTCGGTCCTACCCTTCACACACACACATACCCCAAGGAGATCATGGTTGGCCCCTGTGTCAGACAGGATGCTGGACTAGAGGGACCACTGGTCTGATCCAGCAGGGCTCTTCTGATGTTCTTATGAAGGCCTCGGCCTCTCTGCCCTGTTGTTGGCCCTCCAGAGGAACTGATTGGCCCCTGTGTGAGACAGGATGCTGGACTAGGGGGACCACTGGTCTGATCCAGCAGGGCTGCTCTTATATTCTTACTTTCAAAATGTGGTCCTGTGCCTCTAGTTGTGCCATCAGTTCTACTTCCTGCTTTTGTTTGATGTGTGAACTGTGCCTAACTTATAACAGGTATATAAATGGTAACAGCCCAAGACAACTAGTAAACCAGAAAACAGGCTGACAGCGCTTAGGATGAAATGAAATACAATTTCTCCACTGTATTTAACAGTGTTATTTTATAATAGTTAATGGCACATCCACACTGTTACATATTCTGTCTTTCATATGTACACCCAAAACACAAGGGAAAAGTGGGTTCAAAAGTACATGGGGAAAGTGGGTTGACGAAACTCCCCGGAGTTGATCTTCGTTTCATTCACAGCTTCATCCGAACATAGTGAAGCACCTTACAGAATGACATAAGAGGTTTATGCAATGCAATGCAGTTAAACATATGTTGAAATGTTATACAGCTATTTCTATTAAATGAACATTATTATAAGGCAGTGTACCGTGGTAGTCTCACTTGAAAATCTACTATTCATAGTGTCTTCACATGATATTCCATGCCATTATTTCAAATACTAGAATACTAGAAAACTTATACCAGAGCCTGTGCTTTGATATAATGGATTTAAGATGCTCAGAAGAAGGGCCCTGCCACTGGCTATACAGTGGGAAAGGGGGTGGGTGACATTTGGCTTGATTCTGTTTTCTCCTATAATGCTTAAATCCCTTTTTAAAAACACAGTTCAAATATAATTCAAAAGAATTCATTCTGAGATCTTTACAAAGTTATGGAAATAATCCTCCAAAAAGTAATTTACGCAAAAGTCAAATGTAGACTTGCTCACAGTTGTAATGCCACTAGCTTTTTTTTGCTCACGCGGTAGAGTTTTTGCTCACAACACTGTGGCGCTTAGGAGGCACAGTGCCCACCCCGGCACACTCTTTTTCTCCTTCCTAGAATTATGAGACACAGAATAAATGCAGCCAGTAACGTGGTTTCCTTAATGGGTACCCTTTTGCTGTCTTTAAGAGGGTTGCTTGGGAGCTGTGCGCGATGGGCGAGAAAGTTTTGGCGCTGCGGAGAGGTTTTTTTAAAAAAAAATTATAACTTTTAACTTTAAAACATATAAACAGTGATGCACTTTACGTGAATGAAACAGATACAATATACTTAATGAAGAATAAACCTTGAATCAAACCAAGATAGACCATTTAAACCATTAACTATAACAATTATTAATAGCATTGATATATACTGACCCTAATGTTTTAAAATACAACCATCTGGAACTTACTAAACTTCTAGAGAATCTACCAAAATCTCCATCATCGATTAATGTCCTGGGTTGAAAAAACACAAATTTTAAAATCTTTTATCTTTCCCGAGAGTGTCGATTGGGAAAGCACAGACATATCAGCGTCTCATTCTTTTCAGGGTCTGCCCTCCCTTTATATACCAGATGCACTTTGGGAACAGCGCTTTCCCGTTTGTTTTGTTAATTAGCCATTTGCAACCGTGCACTTAAATCATAAAACCAGTCAGCTGTCCAAAAGAGAGCCAGTTTGGTGTCGCGGTCAAGTGCGCAGACTCTAATCCGGGAGAACCGGGTTTGAGTCCCCACTCCTCCACTTGCACCTGGCTGGATGACCTTGGGCAAGTCATAGTTCTGATAAGAACTGTTCTTGAAAAAAGAGCAGTTTCTGTCAAGAGCTCTCTCAGCCCCACCTACCTCCCAGGGTGTCTGTTGTGGGGAGGGGGAAGGGAAAGGAGTTTGTCAGCCGCTCTGAGACACCTTCGGGTAGTGGATATACATCCAATCTCCTCCTCCTCCTCTTCTTCTTCTTCTTCTTCTTCTTCTTCTTCTTCTTTTTAAAGTATCCTTTAAAAAAAACTTTTTCATAATAGCAGTGTCACGGCTCAGGTGGGGTGGCACCTGACGCTGCCACCAGTCTGGTCTTAGGATCCCTTGAGAAGGCCCAGAGCACCCTCCCAAGACCTTCAGACCTCCCTTATTTGGCCGAATGATAGGCGTGAGGACCAGGCAGAGTAAACAACAAATAAAAGGTTTATTTTTACAGGAGGTCAGTCAAATATGGGAAACGACAAGGTGCAAGAACAACAACGATAAGTGGGTGAAGGGAAAAGAAACCAAATGCCCTAACGCGACTAGACTCACCGTCCCTCGTCCACTGTCTCAGGTTGGGCCTGAGTCTACTCACCCTTCCTCTCAGGGTGAGGGTCTCTCCTAGCAGCAGCCTTCCCTCTGGCCCTGCTCTCTTGGAAGAAAGAACAGCTCTTCTTCTGTGCCAGCTCTTTTTATTAGAAGTCCCCTTCCCCTGTGATTGGCTTAAATTGGCAGCAAAACCTCTCAGGGACTTCTGGGAGTTGTAGGCCTGGCCTCCCACTGCTAGTCAGGCTTCCTGGGCCTGCTAGGCCTTTTACTTGCACAGCCCAGATCATGACAAGCCGTTATGGAGGATTGCTGCATTTGTGACTATTAGACGTGATGGCTAAACAGCAGCTACCTGTAAATGCCAGCTGAAACGGGGGGAGGGGTTGTTGGCCTTCATAGCATGCTTGTAGGCCTTGCAAAGACATCGATTTGGCCGCTGTGGGAAAAGAGATCCTGTATAAGAATCGGGGGAAACCCAGATTCAAATCTTCGTTATTCATAGTCCACATGGGTCACTGGGACTCAAGGCAGGTTATCTATGAGTCAGTAGAGTCGACAAAATGGGACATTCAATGCATTGGGACGGTCGAAGTCCGAGACCAGCCAGAAAGAATCAAAGCAGGCCGTAAGTATTCATAATAACACATTAAGTGATGCAAAAATGACATAATAGGATCCTGCTTTACAGTAAGCTATACAAGCGGTAAAGGTAAAGGTTTCCCTCGCTCGAAAGCCAGTCGAGTCCAACTCTAGGGATGCAATGCTCATCTCCGTTTCCAAGCTGAAGAGCCAGCGCTGTCCAAAGAGATTTCCGTGGTCATGTGGCCGGCATGACTAGATGCCGAGGCACACGGAACGCTGTTACCTTCCCACCGAAGCGGTACCTATTTATCTACTTGCAATTTCTTGCTTTTGAACTGCTAGGTTGGCAGGAGCTGGGGCCAGAGACGGGCACTCACTCCGTCATGCGGCACACTCGGGTCTCGAACTGCCGACCTTCCGGTCGGCAGTTCAGCGTCTTAACCACTTGAGCCACCGCACCCCTACAAGCAGTATAGACCACCATAAATAATGTAAATAAATAAAATTAATAATACTTGTGCCCTGCTTTGGTTCTTTCTGGCTGGTCTTGCACAGTAAGCTATACAAGCAGTGTAGACCACAGTAAATAATGTAAATAAATAAAATTAAAAGTTCAGCGGTAAAAGCTCATTGGATGACCTTGAGCTAGTTTGTCTGCCTCTCTCGCTGAGCCTAGCCTACCTCAAAGGGGGTTTGTGAGGATAAGACGGAGATGAGAGCAAGCCGTGTGCATTGCCTGGAGCTCCTTTGGTACCAGGCAGAGGATAATGGAGAGAACGTTATGTAATTGGTAGCTACAGCGGATACATCCCAGCTGTTTTGCGTCTCAGGGTCTTCCACCCTGATTGGTGAGTTATCAATGCATTCCAGGGATTATTAGTTACTAAGAGAATGGAGTGGACCATACAGATCTGACCTGTAAGCAGTGACCAGTTTCTTCCGGTGCAAGGATCCTTCTTCTTTTCTTTTATAAACATTTTATTAACTTTTTATGACATATAATCAGAGGTCATTTCGGGGGGGATCGCGGGGGATCGCAGTTCCCCCGGGTGATGTACGGGGGGGGCACATGACAAAGCCCCACCCCCTGCTTCCGGCCCTCATTCAGCCAGGAGGAGGCAGGAGAAGAGGGAGGGTAAGTTGCTTCCTCCCTGCCTCTCCCCACCCCTGCCTGCCTGGGGCCAGGGAGGGCCTTTGCGGGGCTTCCTTGCACTCCCGCCGGCCTTGCAGGTCGGGCTCGGCAGTGGAGCTGCAAGGCCGGCGGCGGCGGCCAGGACCGTTGGGGGCGGGGTGTGTGGCCTCATTACACACGTCCGGTGATGTCAGGGGGTGTGGCCTTATGACACACTTCCGGTGATGTCAGGGGGTGTGGCATATGCTAATGAGTTATGCTAATGAGTTCCCCTAGCTCTTTTTCTACGAAACGATCCCTGCGTATAATTACAATACTTTAA